AACAACAGCCTGTATGTTGAGGGTGCATCATTTGGGCCCACATGACTCTGGGAATTCAACTCTTGAGAAAGAAAGCTCGCTGTTCCTGAGGCTGTCAAGGTACAGCATCCTTTCCCCCCTCCCATCAGCTGATGTGACGGCAGAAAGCCCCTCCCACAACGCCGGTGCTACAACGCCAACAACCCCTCTGTCTCCCTAGGGCGCATGGGCCCGACGCTGTGCTGATGGCCGAAGGTAACCCTCCTCGCGAGCTGACGCAGTCACAGATGCTGCACATCGCACAGCAGATAGCTGCGGGCATGGTCTACCTGGCGTCCCAGCACTTCGTGCACCGCGACCTGGCCACCAGGAACTGCCTGGTCGGCGAGAACCTCCTGGTGAAAATCGGGGACTTCGGCATGTCTCGAGATGTGTACAGCACTGACTACTACAGGGTGAGTGGAGCGTCGCGTCTGGGATACCTTGAACCCTCTTTTCCCAGGGCCTCCTGCTTGTATTAGTGTTCCAGGGTGGCTATGACAAAATAGCACGGACTAAGTGGCTTAAACAACCAACATTTACTTTCTCACAGTTCTGCAGGCTGGAAGTCCAAGATCAAGGTCTGAGCTGTTTGGATTTCTCTTGAGTGTTCTCTCTGGAGCAGACAGCTCCTTCTCTCAGACTCCTTATGTGGTCTTTTTCTGTGTTTCCTCTTCTTAGTAGGGCACCAGTCAGATTGAAGTAAGACCTATCTAATACTAGCTTAATTGCCATCTAAAGGCCCTGTCCCCAAACAGTCATATTCTGAGATACTGAGAGGAAAGCTTTAACCGAGGTTCTGAGAAACTCAGGTCAGAGCTACAGCTGCTCTCTCCATGGCTCTTTGGAGTGGTGTATGCCATTTCTAAGAGGGAAGTCCTTGGCATAAGGATTCTGCCAGGGGATCAAAAGAGCTTGGGGGGATTCCCGGTGGCTCAATTTTAAATGATTTTATCCTGAATTTAATTATGTGAATTTATGTCTGGAATCTTAGCGGTTTAACCGACAATGAACTTGTCTGCATAAATAGTACTACTCTGAATCTTGGAAGTTCTCATCCAGAACCTTTTTGGTTGACAGTGGGTCAGCTGGTAGCCATCTTGGTGAAATGGAAAGGTTCTCTATTTCCTGCATCTGATTGACCACCCAGCTGCCCGGGTTCTGCTCATACATAGTAATTCTGATCTACTGATTTCCCAGAATTAGCCCCATTGTCAAGTTCAATTTGTTAACTAAGATTTTGAAACGTGGATATGAGAGGAAAGAGACTTGTCTAAAAACTTGAAATCTTGATATCTTGCAGTAAAGGTTTGAAGTAGTCAGGCGCCACATCCAAACCTCATTTTAGTTTTCTTGTTAATTTTCCTGACTTTCAAAGAGAAAGGGAGAAAATTGGAAGAAAATGAAATAAATATGTATATATGTGTAGAAAAGTGAATAAGAATGACTTGATTTACTTGCCTAGTAAGGTAGGATAGGTGAAGAAAACATATTTCCTGTCCCTTGCTCTTCCCTGTGTGGTTTATTTTTGAGAAGGAATCTTCATTGTATATTATTTCTCCCTGGAGTTTCACTCACTGCCAATACCTCTGCATTTTAGTTGAGCCAATTTTGCCAGAATAATTTAAGAAAATGAACTCATTGCCTTGCTTCAGTCTTTGAAAGATTGTTTTGTGTGGTTTCTTCACTTATGTGAACATATCCCTCTGTTAGCTCTACTCTACTGGCAGGAGATGGGGCTGTCTCTCTGTCTCACGAAGCAAATACCTGGCACATCCCTCAGGAAAAGGTTTTCTGATTTTGTGGAGCATCTAAGGGAGGAACATGTGACCCAAGCAATAGGTTTCTTTTTAGCAGTAAATTAATAAAGGTTTAAGTACCTGGGACAAAGAAGTGTTCAATAAATGTTTCAAGCTTATTGGATCCAACTATATAAGATTATGTTTATTACCAAAACCAGAACTCAACTGTGTAGAAACCAATGTCCTCTTCTACATGTCTAGAAAAATAATTCAGAGGAGAAAAACTCAACAACATAATGATAACTCAACAAATTAAAAGATAGCCAAAGGTTTTAATGTAGAATCACCTCCAAAAAAGATACACAAGTGGTCACTAAGCACATGAAAGATGTTCAACTTTATTAGTCGTTAGGGAAATATAAATCCTAACCACAATGAGGTATCACTGCACACTCACCGGGACAGCTGTAATAAAAATACAACAAGTGTTAACAGGGATGTGAAGAAATGGGAAACCTCATGAAATTGCTGGTACAAGTGTAAAATGGTATCTGGGAGAAAAGTTTGGCAGCTGGTCAATATTCAAGACAGATTCTCCCTATAACTTAGTAATTCTACTCTTAAGTACATGCCCAAGACAATAGAAATTATATGTTCCCTCAAAAACTTATAAAGAAATGTTAATGGCAGACATGTTAATCTGCATAGCTAAAAAGTGGAAATAAGTGTTCATTAACTGATGAATGGCTAAACAAAATGTGATAATCCATAAATAGAATGATATCCATCAATAAAAAGGACTGATGCATAACATGGATGAAACTTAAAAATATTATGGTAAGTGAACACAAAAAAGTTATGTGATTCTATTTATATGAAATGTCCAGAATAGATAAAGTCATGGAGGTAGAAGGTAGACTAGTGGTACTGGGAGCTGGGAGAATGGAGAATGAAAAGTATTTGTAATAGGATATAGTGTTTCCTTTTTGGCATGATGGAATATTCTAGCATTGGATAGTGATGATGACAGTTTAGTATGTTTATGAATGTACAAATTAGCAAACACCTTGTAAATATAGACATATATATATATATGTCTAAGCACCACTGAAATTGAATACTTTAAAAATGCATGAATCGGCCCTCCCTGGTGGTGCAGCAGGTTAAAGCACTTCACTGAGAAGCTAAAGCCACTTCCGCATGAGTTCGATTCCCGCCTGCCCCGGATGTGACCACATGGCGTGGCAGACCTCTCCTGACCCTCCCGCTGCTCCCCTCAGCAGTGTACTTCGTAGATCTGCCTGTTCTACTCCCCACTCTGTCTCTGGTGAAGCCTCTCACCGCCCCTGAGCCTCTGGCCTGTACCCCAGTTCTGTACAAATAAATCCTTAAAAAAAAAAAAGTGCATGAATCTACAATACATGAATTACAGTAAATGCAAAAGGACGTGAAAAATACTAGCAAAATAATTGTCACGTTTATGAATATAAAGAATTAATCTTGCTCATTTGCACATAAAATCATTGTCACTTCTCACTTACCATATTTTTAACCATTTGTTAAAAAGGAAATTATGTATGTGACTTCCTTCTAAACTACTTGAAAGAAATAATAATGGTTCCTGTTTCTTTACTGGTTAAATGTTCTTAGACATATTCCACTTATTTAGTCTCTCCCCATCTTCATCACTACTCACTCACATTCGTAGTCTCTGATGTCTACTTGGTCCAGTGTCATTCCCACTGAAGACGAAAAGGAACTGGTCTTATTATGTTGGCCTCTGTTATTGTGGACATAGACAGGTGAGGCTAAGAAAGCCTATAATGGATTAACACATGACCACTTGATAGTAACCTAGGGAAATATCAACACTGGAATTTATTCTCTCGCCTCTGAAATTTCAAAATGATGCCCCACCATTCTGTTGCAGTTGTTCAATGGACCAAAGAAATATCACTGCTCTGACATTTTTATTTCCCAGAACATGCTTGCTTATATGGTTAGCAGTAAACCCCTCTTCTTCATAGTGTCTCTTCCTCTTCCGTGTCACAGCAGCTATGTTCCCCTATGTATCTTGATAAGCTCATTGCCAGCTTCAGTGGATTTTTCTTCATTGTCTGCCTGTCCTCTCCAGCAGCCTTATAACTCCAAGGTGAAGAGCCACTGTGGTTGGTATGAGTAGTCATCACCAATGGAATACACTCTTCTGCCATAGGTATAGGGAAGGATTTTGTAACTGTCATAATTCTCTCCCATGGAAGGATCTGGCCTGGAGTCAATTAAATGGAGGTGTTAATAATGTCACTTTCCTTTTATGCAAGGACTAATCGCACTGGCAGCCTGAAGCTCCCGCTCATGGTGGCCTGTCAGCAACCTGAGGCAGCAGCCACAGCTCTGTGCAACCCATGGCAGGAGGGTGGGTGGCAGCTGCTCCTGCATCATCAGGGAGCTGGCTCAAGGCCTCTACCCCTTTGCAGCTGAGCTAATTATATCTTTCCAAAGAAGGGAGAAATCAGAACACTATATTTGTATTGAAACCAGCCTGATATGGTGGGTCCAGAATTACTCTAGCATTTATTTTCTCTGAATTGTTTTAATTAGTAGTTCTGCAGCACCAGTCTTTCATTTGTTTTTATTCCTTTCCTCCCTGGTAAAATATCATGTTTAGGAAGAATCTGAACCAGAGTTCTGTCACATTCTGCTTATCAGAGACCTAGGATCTCTCTCCACTTGATCATTACTAGCCCACAACAGATCCACTGAAAATTTGAATGTGCATGTTGGTGACTTTTATTGTCTTTATCCAACAAGTACTTAAAATGAATGTGATCCATTGGTAAGGAGAGAGCTCTGAGCATTTGAAATCCTAGCTGTTAAGCCTTCTTCTCCCTTGGGTGAACTTTATATTGGGGTAGTAAGAAATCCTATCCTTTAATTCATCTTCCACTTAAGAAGAAGAGAAAAGGAAGCAAAATAGGCACATTAATTTATGGTGCACATTTAGAGAAACAAATGACTATAACTTAACTATGCATGGCCCTGGTGAGACTCTTAAAATGTTACTATTATATCACCAACATAGTCCAAGAAATTATCTTTAGGTGCTCAATGCAGCTTATTAACTGCAAAGAGAAAGATGGGTTGTACTAAAATCAGCTGATATAATAAGCAGCAAAAAGAATTGATTTGAACTGCAATTTTCTTTCTCCTTTACCCTGCCAACCCTAGAGTAGGAGGGCTGATAAACTACAAAATAAAGTCCTGAGCCACAGAGCAGAGAAGTCTTAAGCAATGTAAAAACTAGACAAGCACATAAGATGTAAGAGTAACCTTTCATCCTTTAGCTTTTGAAAAGAATGTATTTATTTTTAATAAGTATTTTAAAGTAATGTGAATATTTCTAGACTGGTAAATAAATTTGAAGGTAGGAAGATAGATAGATGATTGATAGAAAGACAGATAGTTACATACATACATACATACTTACATACATATGTACATACATATACGGTAGATAGATCTTTATTTAGTCCACATTTCTTTTAGGTGCTATTGTTTAAGTGTCAATGCCATTCCCTCTCTCAGGACCAGCCTCTCTCAGGTGCATGCCTGCTCATTCTTAAGAGACAGTTCCACTTTCACCTTCTTTTCAACTTTCTCCAAAGCAACATAAT